TCTGACACCGACTCCTCGTATGGCATGGGTGAGTCACTTAACCCACCTGCAGCTGGTTGTTTTTACCTGCCTCGTGGGCGTCTGCTGGGACCGAGCGGTCGGGGTTTCCAAACCATGGTGGAAAGGGCTAAATCAGAGCAGGAAATAATTTGGCTCCAATCTCTCTGAGCCAGCCCAGCTTAGCCAGTAGCAGAGCTTGGTGCAACTCCATGGAGACCGCAGGCTGGGGGCGAGCTCCTTGGGCTGGGAGGCCTCTAACTCCTGAATTCCCCCGGTCAGTTTGGGCTGGGTGGTGGTCGAACATCTACCCTGCAATTTGTAGCCCCATCGTCTGAGTGAGATGACTGGGCCAGTCGCAGCGGTGCCTCGGCTCTTGTATTGCAATGTAGACGTCCCCTAGGATCTCCCATCGGACAGCAACACTTGGAAGAGGGCTGGGGACTTAGGCCATCAGCCTGGTAAGGGCCTCGTGGGTAGGGTTGCCAACCCTCCAGGATTTGCTTGGAGTCTCCAGGAATTAAAGACGACTCTTTAATTAAAGATTATGTCATGTGATGAAATCCCCAGGAATGCATCCAACCAAAATTGGCCACTGTACCCATGGGTCACAGAGCCCAGTCCTGGCGTATCGTCCCATGTGTAAACTTATCAAGCTCCCGCTTTGAGCTAGCTGGGCTGTTTGTCCCCACAGCTTGGCCTCCCTGCTGGCTCGTTGCCTCCATCCCTCTCAAGGAGAATCTGGTCCAAAGGCCACTTTGGGACTGTGCTGGCCTTGCCTTGAGCTTTAAAAATCCCCCCCATCCCCTGCCAGAAGGCCATTCTGCGGATGCTTTTGAGATGCTTCTCCCAGCAGCAGGGCGGGTTCTGAATCAGGGTGCTAATTCAAGCCTCTTCCCTCTATTTCCCCTGGCCCACGTGCTTTATTTATTTGATGTGGACATAACCTGCAGGCGCGTTATTCCTGCCTCTCCGGGGCTTGTGCCCAGCCTCCCAGGGCACCCCTAGAGTCGCTGTCTGTTGTTTCTGTCATGCTTGTGCTTCGGCGCGAGGAACTCAGCCCATCTTGAGTGGCAGCAAAGAGCCTAGAGAATTGTGGACCTGGCTGGTGGGGTGAGCCTGGGAGAGCTCCAGGGAGCTGGTCTGGAAGGAGGCATTGCTCAGGTTCTCCCCTCCGGGAAGAGAGCTCCGCTGAGTCAAACCCTGGCTTCCCCGCAGAGTCGTGTCGTGGAGGAAGGTTGGATCAGCATCCTCCCCACAAAGCGGGGCAGAGGCGTGTCAATAGGCAGAAGGCTGGGCGCTCTCCGGGGCTCTGAGTGCCCAATTCCCTTCGTTTGACAGTTCGCCTAGCAGTTGCTAGAGTAAGGCTGGGGACTGGCCGGTTTGGCGGGCTGTACAGAGCCATTGGAAGCCATGGCGGGGCTGGGCATCTCTCCCTCGGAAAATCTTAATCATCCTTCCCAGCCCACGGTCTCAGACTGCTGGGACAGAAGGAGATTTAACCCCTGATGTCCCAGGACCCGTTCAGTGGGCTGAACTTGCTTTCGACTGAACGTAACCTGGCTACATCTGCACAAAAACCTAGCGAAGGGCTGAGGGCTGAAAGTGAATGCTACTGTGTAGAATGAGTGTTGTTATGGTAAGAATTTGTGGCCTGATCCAAAGCCCGCGGAAATCGGAAAAGAGACTTCACCGCGCTCGCTTTGGATCAAAACCCCCCATCTCGAACTCTGTCTCCCTAGGTTTGTATGTCCCACTCTGGTGGTGGCATATGCGCGGTACAGAGAGGACTTTTTGCCGTCCTTAATCAAGAAATAGTTGCCCAGAGGGTTGCTGTGTGGGCACACATGCAATGCGGGGGAGTTGCCGTGTGTGAGTCTGCATACACAGCGTGTGCATGGGCAGACACCTGTCGTGTGCATGTTGCTGGGTGTTTGCGTGGCTCGATGTGCGCTCGTGGCAGGGGTATTGCTGTGATTTTGTGTGTGCGCACACTTTGAGGCACGGTCGCTCGCGGCGGGGTGTCCCTGTGCGATGGCCCGGCTGTTGCCGTGTTTGTGCCTGCATGTTGTTTGGGGGTTGCTCCACGGGGACTGGTATGTGCGTTGCGTGGGGGTTGCTCTGGGGTGTCAGGCTGTGTGTGCACGCTGCACGGTGGGTGTGCTCTCTGTGTGTGTGTGTCCATGTTGTGTGGAGGTTACAGTGTTTGGACAGGCGCATAGGGGCTGGTTAGCCTCCCTCCCCTGTTACGCCTGGTTCTGCTGCGGAAGTGTTTGCCTGCAGATCAGAGTGTTCTGATTTCACACTGTCGCATGAGGCCGTCTTCCGGCTCTCAGTCTGGCCTCTGGCTCCTGGCCAAGGAAGAGTCACTTTTTCCTCTAAAAAGAAAGCGTTTAATGTTGCCTCCATGGCCTTCCAGGAAACCTCACTGGGGATCTGGAAAAAGAAATGGAGAGACTCCAACGGGGGGAGAGGGCGGAGTGGGGAAATGGACAGCTTGCTCTGGTATTCCATGCCACACTCAGTGCCAAGGCAGCGCCTTTGATACGGGACGACATTCTTCCGGTACCTGGGCCCATTTGAAGCAGCCCATCTTCCCCAATTCCCTGGGCATTGGAGCCCCGGGCAGCCCTGGAGCAGAGAGCAGTTTAAAATTAAGGCTGGAGGACCAGTTTGGAAAAACCTGAAAGTCACCTGGAGGACGACAGCTGCCCCTGCACTTTGCAGGCCCCAACATGCCAGCATGAGGGGCAGGCTGTGAGGTTGCTCCCATGCCGGGACAAGCCCGGATGGGATCTGCAGAACTAGGGTTGTAGGGCCCACAAGAGGGTGGGGTCCAAGCGGCTGGTTGCTTCGCTTGGGCATGAGGTCAGTCGGTACAAACGGAGCATGGCGAGTCTCCCAAACTGAACAGCTGACTCGCTAGCTCTATGGCAGGCGATGCTCTGATTTACGGCGTCACCTGCCGGGGCTCGGTCTGGAGCGCGGTTCAGAATGGAGCAGGCTGCTTCCTGCAGGCGGAGCCCGGGCTTGTCCCGCAGTGGGACCCCATTTGGCTTGTGAGGCTGTCGTGGCGAAACGTGGTCACGTCGTCACAAGAGCGTGTCCGGGTCCTTGTATCGGTCTAAAATGCTGCTGTGTGGCTGGCCCCAGGAGGGCTCCGATTCTCTGGGGAGGAGCAAGGGAAGGAGGAAGGGATAGATCCATTAAATGGATTTAAAACTGCCTAACAGACAGGTCTCCAAATGAACCGTTAAAGGAGAATCATCTTCAAGCTGGTGAATGTCCAGTGAACCCCAGAGCCCCATGGGGGAGCCAGGGCCCTGTGCCATGTGGGGCTAAAGCCGGGCGAAGCTGGGGCCCTGACCCCTAGTGCCCCATGGGGCGGCAGCCCTGAGTCCCCCTGCCTCACAGGGCAAATCCCCAAGTCCCCCTGCCCTGTATGGCTAAAGCCAGGACCTGATCCCTGGTGCTGAAGCACAACCCCCCCCACCCCCAGTGGTGAAGCCTGGGGCCCTGAACCCCCCCCCCCATGGGGCAGAGTCCTGAGCCCTCAGCCCAATGGGGAAGAGCCCCCATCCCCGCAGGGCTGAGCCTTGTGCCCCACCCCAATCTGGTGGCTAGAGCCTCGAGTCCCCCTCTCCATGTGGCTGAAGCTCAGAGCCCTGAGCCCCCGGCCCTGCATGTCTAAAACCCAAGCCCCTTGTCCTCCAGTGGCTGAAGCCCACAGGCCCCCGTGCTGGGCCCTGGAATTTCTATAGCATGTTGGGGGGCCTCAGAAAGAAAAACACCGAGAACCCCTGACCTCACAGACAAATACCCAACGGCTGGAAATTGAAGCTAGACAAATCCAGACTGGAAATAAGGCATAAATGTTACCAGTGAGAGTAATTAACCATTGGTATAATTTACCACGGGATCTGGTGGATTTGCCATCACTGGCTATTTTAAAATCAAGGTTGGATTTTTTTAAAAAATGCCTCCTTTTGAGCTAGAGCGGATTATTTCAGGGGAGCTCTCTGGCCTGTCCGGTCAGACTGGATGATCACAATAATCCTTCCTGGCCTGGAATCTAAGATCCATCCATCCACCTTGTTTGTGTGAGAAGTTCTGGAACAGCCTTTCCAGGGGAGCAGTGGGGGCTGGCTTCAAGACTGAGCGTGATAAGTGTACGGAGGGGCTGGGATGATGACACTGCCTACAATGGCAGGTGGCCGACCTTCTACTGCTACCAGCAAATATCCCCAACAGCCGGGGATGGGACACCGGATGGGGAGGGCCCTGAGTCACTACAGAGAATTCTGTCCCAGGGGTCTGGCTGCTGGGTCTTTCCCACAAGCTCAGGGTCTGACTGATCGCCAGATTTGGGGTTGGGAAGGAATTTTCCCCCTGGTCAGATTGGCAGAGACCGTGGGGTTTTTGCCTTCCTCTGCAGCATGGGGCACAGGTCACTTGCAGGTTTAATCGGTGGATTCTCTGTAACTTGAAGTCTTTGAGACTTCACTAACTCAGCCAGAGCTTAGGGGTCTATTGCAGGAGTGGGTGGGTGAGGTTCTGTGGCCTGCAATGCGCAGGCGGTCAGGGGGTCTGGGGCTGCTTTCCAGTCTCGCAGGGCCATACGCCTCACGCAGCCCCCTTTCCAGTTTGAATCTTTCGGGAGAGCTCACATTAATGCTCTATCGATCCAGCCTGCAAAGCATCCTGTGCTTTCAGCGCAGTGAAAGCAGGTTTCCAGTAACATCTCAGTAGACGCCGTCTCCTCTGGGGCCACGTTAGCTGCAGAGGACACACCGCCGGCGTCTCCGGCAGAGCAAGCGTCCGCAGGAGAGTGGTGGGAATGTGGTGCGTATTTCACGGGGAGGCTGAGTGCTCGGCAGCTGGCTGACAGGGCCCTTAGCTCAGCGTTCGAACTTCGAAGCCATCGGTGCTTAATGGGAGCCATTAGCTCGCTCTCCGGCCCCGAGCGAATTGTTGATCTGCTTTGTTCCCTTCTCCCCATGCAGAGCTTGGGCACACTCAGGGGCCGCTGGACGGGAGCCTCTACGCCAAGGTGAAGAAGAAAGACTCGCTCCACGGTAGCACCGGCGCCGTCAACGCCAGCCGCGCCCCCCTCTCCGCGGCGCCCAACCACCTTGAGCACACGCTGTCTGTCAGCAGCGACTCGGGCAACTCCACCGCTACCGACAAGACCGACGAGCAGGCGGCGCCTGCCGGCGGCCCCCCAGCACTGACCCCCGAGGAGAAGCGGGAGCTCGAGCGGCTCTTGAGCGGCTTCGGCTTGGAGAGCGAAGCCCCCATGCACAACCGCCACCCCGGGGCGGCGCCGGCCGGCAGCTCTGCCCTCCCGGGGCGCCACGTGGTGCCGGCCCAGGTGCACGTCAACGGGAGCGCCCCCGTCCTGGTGGCCGAGCGGGAGACGGACATCCTGGACGACGACCTGCCCAACCAGGACGGGCAGAGCGTCGGCAGCCTGGGCACCCTCTCCTCCTGCGACGGCACCACCAACGCCAGCGAGTTTGGCTACCAGGAGGTGCCCCGGATGGAGAGCCTCTCCTGCCTGCCCAACGGCCCGTCCAGCTTCGACGGCGCGGACAAGCTGCACAAGGAGGGGCTGTATGACTCGGAGCTGCTGATCAACGGGGGGTACCCCTACAACAACCAGAACACGCTGCGGAGCATGATGGGGCGACACCCCCAGCCCCTGCTGAGCCAGATCCGGCCCTCGGTGTCTGCTCAGGAGAACCTGTCCGACTACCGGCAGCAGCCAGCCGGCTTCCCTGAGCCCGGCTGGCTGCAGCCCCGGCCGCCGGCCGCCACGCAGCCCTACCTGTACGGCTTTGACTCCAGCGACATGTACCATTCTCAGTCCTACCCAGCCGCCGAGCCGGGCCTCCAGCTCCCCCCGGCGCCGGCTCGGAGCACCAGCAGCCGGGAAGCCGTGCAGAGGGGGCTCAACGCCTGGCAACAGCTAGGCGGTGGCAGCAGCGGTGGGAGCAGGCCGCCCTCCCGTCAGCAAGACGGCGGCCTGGAAAGCCAAAGCCCTAGCGTGTCCAGTTCGAGCCCCCAGCCCAGCCCCTTGCCGGCGGCCCCCGCTCCGAGCCACAGCATCCCTGAGTTCCCCCGGGTGGCCTCCCCGAAGGAGATCGAGCAGTCGATAGAAGCACTGAACATGCTCATGCTGGACCTGGACCCGTCTGTCTCAACGATGCACAAGTCCCAGAGCGTCCCCGTGGCCTCCAGAGAGGAGCAGCCTGGCCCGGTGGTCTCCTCTCTGTCTGCCCAGCCAGCGTTGGGCCTTCCGAGCCAGGCGGCCCCTCAGGTGACCCAGCCGAGACCCAGCAACGCCTTTGGTGCCATGCCGGAGAGCGTGTCCCACAATGCCATGGGCACCGCTGTCACCCAGCCCCCACCAGCTTCTGAACCGCTGTCCAAAGCCTATCTGCCAGGACCGCCGGCCCAGGTGGGCCGGGGCGCTGGAGAGCCAGAGTCCAAGGCGCAGGATTTTGGGGTGTCCTACTCACCCTACGGCTATCAGAACCAGCAGCCTCCTGAGCCGCAGACAAAGAGCTACAGCCGCGCCCCGGGAAGCCCCCCAACCTCTTCCATCCCTCTGGCAACAGCTTACAGCCCTGTTCGGCCTCAGCAGCCCCTGATCCTGTCGCCCCCCTCTCCCACAGCGACAGCCCAAGTTCAGATGCCCCTGAAGGGAGCGGAGCATTACCAAGAGCCTGCTAGACCCTCGGAAGAAGAGCCCTTGAACCTGGAAGGGCTGGTGGCACACAGAGTAGCAGGTAAGAGGCTTTGATTTGCGGTGCCACCTCTGGCTGGCCGTCACCCCAGGGCCAGGCTGCATTTGTCCTCGACTATTGGGTGAGGGCGGGTTATGCAGCGAGCGGGTGGGGGCCTGCGTGCCCGGCTCTTGCGGCTGCGTCCACACGCAGAATGGAGCCACGAACGCACCAACGAGGCTCTGGCTGCGTGGGAGGCCCACTGGGATGGAGGCGCCCGTGCCCCATGCCCCAGCCTGGCTCCAGGCCTCCTTGGAAACTAGGCCCTCTGGGCCCCTAACATACCAGGGGAACCCTCTCCATCCTTGCTCTTGGGAAGAGACAGCCCGGGGAGCTCAGCCAGACCCCCTCCTCAACAAGCGGTGCCCAGGAGAGGAGAATCGGGGCCTGTCCCTGGGAACGGGGTTGGACCCGGGAAGCACGCACGGGGTGCAGAGGGAAAAAGGGATGGAAGTTGTGGGAAGGGTGAGACGAAACGCAGATGCGCAGGACAGGAGGGAGCTCAGGGAAGAGTTAAACGTCCCTCAGCCTGTTCCCAGAGTCCCCTCTCCATGCAAACGGGGTCATGACTGGAGGGGAGGTGTCTGCCGCACGGCCTCGCCATCCAGGCTCGACCACTGCCCTGCCCCTGGGCAGTGCCCAGCTGGTGAGGCGGGGGACCGCGTGAGCAGCACGGCTGAGCTCAGGGCTTCTCTGTGGCTGCGTTAGTTACTCCGTGCGCCTAGCTGTGCGGGAAAGGGCCCGACAGCCTTTGGCGGGAGTGCCTGCTCTGATGAGATGGCCAGTCTGGCTTCGCCTTCCTGAGAGCTCTGGCTGGATCAGCGCTGGCATTTCTGGGGGCGGCTCCAAACTGCCCTGCTGCCCCGTTTGCTGGCGGCTGTCGAGCGGTGGGGGCTGGGGCTGGCTCTAGGACCGTAGCAGCCTGCAGAGGTGTGTCGTGGCTGCGGATGATGATCTCTTCCAGCTGTCCTCCTGCTCCCTCTGCTGCTCTTCTCTCTGCAGCCAAAGGGAAATTGCGCCGGCTTCCTGTGCGAGGAGCTGCTGGGAGCAGACTGATCAGTCCGGCCTGGGAGCAGGAAGGAGGCAGGACAAAAGTGGAGAGGCCAGCACCTTATAAAAGCAGAAAACAGCGAGTTGGCCCTACTGCCCCCGGTGATGGATTTTCAAAGGGGTTCAGGGGCCAGATTTTGCTTGTGGGGTTCATGGCTTCCATGTGGGAGGCCAAGCCGTAGCTACCCTCCTTGGGAGACGTCAGTTGGAATGGCCAGACTGGACTCCACTTTAGATACCCAGCGATAGCCCCTAGCGCCCAAAGCAGTCATGCCCATTGTGGGACCTTCCCGCTTGTATTAGGTGCTGTACTTACGTGGCTCCCATTATCACAGACTCTGAGTACCCTGCAGTCTTCAGGGTAATCATCCTCCCAACCCCCCTTTACGGCAGGGCAGTGCCATCACACCAGGTGTACAGATGGGGAACAGAGACACAGAGAGGCCAAGTGACTTGCCCAAGGCCACATAGAGAGTCTGTAGCGGAGCAGGAGATTGACCCCTGGTCTCCCACGTTTTGAGCACGCTGGCTCTGTTCTGAACAGGCAGGAGAATGGAAATTGTCACACCCCTCTGAAGGTCTTCCCATAGACATGACCCCCTGGATCTGTTGTCAAACTATCCATTCAGCCTCAGAGCTTGGATCTGCACTGGGGAAACAAATGGCATAACTGGGGGGCATATTTAGAACCAGGTCTGTCATTGATCCTGATGCTTCAGGGCATATGGCCCCCAGTTGGGGTCAGGAGGTAACTTCCCCATGGGATAGTATGGCACAGTTAGGTGCGCTGTAGGGAATTGATGCCTTTCTTGGTAGTAACAGGCGTTCACCATGGATATGGTCATTGACCAGTGGGACTATTCCAGTGAGGCATTTTTACCATGCACAGGGTGCGTGGATGGAATAGCGAACTGGCCTCATCTCTTTGGGACTCCGTTCGCCCCTGGCCTAACTTCAGAGCTCAGGCCCCAGCCTGAGCCTGGGAAGCAGGAAGCCAAGTCCCTCTTGGCCCGTCGGGCCTGGGGAATAAATCTGTGGCTTCTGGGCATGCACAGTGCCTGGCTCTGTCAGTGACCGCCCTGCCTTCCTCTCCGTAATTGCCCTTCCGTGGGAATGCCAGGGCTGCGATCCAGCCTCCAGTTCCAGGGCTTGGCAGAGCAGGGTTTAGTCCAGCCAGCACCTTGGCCTCGAAACACAAACGGTATTAGAGGGAGGGAACACAGCTCAGTTGCAAAACACCCCCCCTCCCCTACCCCCCCCCCCAGGCTGAGTCACTGCTCCGCAGAAGGAGGGAGAGAGGAGGGAGCCAGGTCCTGGCAGGCTGGTGCCGGTGTAGATTGCGGGGAAAGCTGGCTGCTGGATTGTGGGGAAAAGGGCCGCTGCAGCTGTCATGTTAGCCTCACGCCCTGAGCAATGGGTTTGGTTTACCCCAGTGTTAGGGGGCTTATTCCTTCACCCACTTACTTCCCCTGGTCCTTCTTGCATGAACAGAGAGCAACAATCCCCCAAGTCCAAAGGTGCAAACAATTCCATGTTTATTGGGGTGAACTTCCAGCAACCATGATTCCAGTTTCCTTCCTTAGTGTCCCCCTTCTCAGCTCTGACCCCACAGAGCCTTACACCTGTGTCCCTGTTCCCATTCCTGCCCTTAGCCAAACATGATTCCCATTCCCCCCCCCCCCCACACACACACACACTTCCTGATTGACTGCAGACTATATAGTAAAATTTGAGTTCTGCTTAGCTATACCTTAATCAATCATTTTCCTGAAATTTAACTAACCAATCCTAACTTACCGTAACATGATTATTTAACCAATTATATCCCACCACCTTAATTAGTTTACACCCAGCAAAATTAATTATACAGCAGACAGAAACAATCACAGAACCAGACAGAGATTATACAGACAAACAATAGCAAAGTGGGAACTATCATGACAAAACAATACAGAAGTGAGGATTTCACATCCCAGCTATTGATAAGTGAGTTCTTGCCAGACAGGATGCTATCAAACTAAGTTTCCTTTTACATTTTCTAGGCACTTCCCTTTCTCTGGAGGTGATGGGCATTATCAGGACAGGACTGTATTCCTAGCAGCCCAATAGCACCTTCTTTCAATGTGACTAGTTTGGAATGGGAGGAGGTGACCGGTCGCTTCCCAGCTTAGGGCTGCCTCTGCTGCGTAGCCAAAGGCCTTAACCTAAGCACAGGGCCTCAGACTGTCACAGTAAGAGAAGGCCCTTACACCGGCAGACAGTGATTTTGATTCTTTCTTTTATACCTCTAGAACTAGCCAAGTGGTAAGAATAGACCTACATTCTTAGAGTACAGGCCTTTGCGGACAGGCCTGAATATCTATATCCTAACACCCAGCTCAAGGACACAGTGACTGTCCCTTTAATGCCCTGAGAATACGCCTCCCCCCCCCCCCCCAGCCCCCTCCATCCCACCCCAAGCTATAGGGAAATCACGGAGTGAAAACTGGAGATTTTTAAAAAACCCAAACCAACCATGGTGTCTGTGCTCATTTCTGCAGCACCTTACATCCCAGAGCCTTTCCCTGGCTACTAAACGGATCGCGTACGCAAATCACTTTGCCCAGCCCTGAAATGCAGCCACCTCTGGAGTGGAGTGTGGTAGCTGCTTAACAGCGCCCAGCCACAATGTGTCCTAAGTTAGGGCAGGAAAGGAGGCTGCAAACTGTTTCTGGGAGTTGAAACTGCAGGGTAATTTATGGGCCGCTTTGGGCCAGGACATCAGGGCTAAGACCTGGGCTTCAACAAAACCCCCGTTGAGTCACCCACACAGCTGCCTGCGTCGGCCCGGATTCCCCTCGGATCCAAGTGCCGCCCAGGCCAGATGCCGCTTGGTGGTAGGATGCGGTTCTCCGAGGAGGTGAGGGACCGGGGCGAGGCGGGGGCTGGGCTCACGCTGGGAGCTGTCCCTGGAGCAGGGCCGTATGTCGCCATTGGAGGCTCGTGGCCCGTCGCGGGGAAGAACAGCACAGCACAGAGGGCAGCGCGGCCTGTTTACATCAGGGGAGAACAAGGTGTCCCGAGAGCAGAGCCAGCAGCACGTGGCGTGAGTCAGGGCGCAGCCTGGACACGGGAGCTGGGGAGGCTGCGGGAGAGAAGATAGGAGGTGACGGCTGCTGGCAGGGGAGGGGGTTATTTATGGCCCTCGCTGCTATAAGTTGCCTGTTTGTCCCAAGGCAAGTATGTGGGGAATTTCACACAACATCCTCCTCCCTGGGACTTGCAAGCAGGACAATTCCAATTTCCTAGGGCTGGCTGGGGCTGGGGGTGCCACAAGGAGGGTTACACAGGAGCGGGGATGGATGTCAGCAGCCCCCACCCAGAGAGATCCTGCTGCCTGCCAGCCCCAGAGCCTGGGGACCAGCAGTGGACCCAGAAAGGCACCGGCAGCGGCTGCATGAGCCAGCTGGGCTGCACTGTAGACCCTCAATAGGAGTTTGTTCATTACCGACGGGCTGATCCTCTAACATCAGAACGGCCAGGCTGGGTCAGACCAAAGGTCCCTCTAGCCCAGGGTCCTGCCCGCTGCCAGCCGTCAGGGCTAGGTGCCCCAGCGGGAATGAGCAGAACGGGTAATCATTGAGTGATCCATCCCCTGTCACCATTCCCAGCTTCAGGCAAACGGAGGCTAGGGACGCCATCCCTGCCCATCCCTTGCACCCAAACCGGCCGACGCGCTGGGTCGGATTCTCCACTTCCCTGTGTGGTCATTTGCATGAGGAGTGTAAAATGCTCCAATTCTCCACTTGCCGGCACCGGGGGGCAGGTAGCATTTTACACCTGCTGTATGCTCAGGCCAATTGGCTTTCTGACCTCTGTCCTGGAGGGCTGGACTCTGGGTCAGAGCAGGGCCCTCCCGCGGGTTCTCCAGCCCTTCAGTCCATTCCCCGGTTGTCCCGCGGGGAGCAATCGCAGCCCTCTGCCCATTGGGTGTACGCAGACACTGACTGTTCCCTGCCCCACCCCTCCATCCTTCCAGTAACGCCCGTGGGCCTTGTGACTTTTTCGCTGAGCTCGGCCAAAGTGTGTGAGGTTTGTGTGTGACTGGCACAGGAGAATGGAGCGGGGAGCTTCCTTGGGAGGCTGGGTTCCCTCCCCGGGGTTGGTGGGGGGTGTCGCTTGGAATGGCAACATAACAGATAATTGGTCAGATAACGTAACACGCCCCAGGCTTAGTGCTCCCAAGTCCAAGGTCCCTCCAATCATACCTGTGGGGTCTGTTCCCACCCTTGTGCATGCAGCCACCTCTGGGCTGGGGACTCCCGAGTGCTTGCTGTCCAGGCACAAGGATGTTCTGCGTGGATTGAAAGGAGGCATCAGTCCATTTAATTCTTCACTGTTTCCCTGGAGAACAAAATTCAACTGATGCCCAGACACTGCGGCTGCTCCATTCACCAAGCCTTCCTGACCCCTTTTCTTTCTTTCTGGGGTGCAAGAGACATGTCCATGTTCCAGGGCAGTGGGGACCCCCAGTGTGTGCAGTCCCATGCTGCCCCCTCTGCTCTCAGCGTCTCTGGGCTCGGCCGCCATTCAACTCAGGGTCCCAACTAATCTTTTCTCGTGTTCTTTTTTTTTCCTGTCTCCGTTGTGGTGTTTGTCCTGTCTGTCTCTCTCCATGATGGACTGTGTCTCCTCCCTGGCTGACCTTCTCCTACTCCTGCGCCCCTTCCCCCCCTCCACCTCCCCTGCCAGAGTACAACGCCAAACTCCAGGGCATCCGGCAGAGCACGAAAGCCCCCCATCTTCCTCTGCACCGACAAAGATCCTTCTCCTTCGCTGGTTTGTTCCGTTCCTCCTTCCTCTTTCGCTCCGCTCCCCCCTGCTCTTCTGCATGCCGGATGGCTCCCCACGGTTGCTTCGATGTGGTGTGGCAGGGTTTGGTAGCACGCCCTGTTAGGGGGTGGGGGACCTGCTCAGAGTCTAGTGCAGTGGGCCAGGACGGGATGATCCCCACCATGGCAGAGCCTCCCCGCCCGAACCCCAGTCACTGGAAAATCCCAGACTGATGCCATTAGCTGACACACACACCCTTTGGGACAGTCATTGGGAAATCCCCCTCTGTACCGTGGTGCCTCGCGGGACTGGATTCTGGGTAGAGCTCTCCTCCCAGCCACAGCGCTCCTTGTTTTTTCATTTGGTTTCAGGCTCTCTTTCCCTGCCTGGGTGTTTGACTGGCTTGAGAGTGATGCCAGGGGCCTTAGATTCGGTCCATTCTCAGAGGGCACCCCCAGAGCAGCTAAGGACACGCAGGAGGTCACTGGCAAAGGGAGACTTGCTTGCCCAGTCGCTGTGTGTGCATGGGGAGGGGGCGGCACACAAAGGGTTAACAGTCCAAATCGGGGTGGGTTTATTCGGAGGTGGCAATGTATGTAAAAGCGCTGCAGTGGGTCCAGCTTTGATCTTTTATGCTGGATCTGGAAGGAGTCACTGAAATCCCTCCAGGCCAACACTGACCCCCCCCCCCCCAATATCTACATGGCCCCATGCAGCCATGTGTGTGCACTCGCTGGTCCCTCTCTCAGCGGGTCGTTGTCGGGGCAAAGCCTCCAGGCGGATGGTGATCCGCCGTCCGGAGGGCACACGCTCAGGGCTGCATGTCTCGCAGAGGGGCTATGCCACTGGGCCCGCTTTTAAAGCAGAACTTCCGGGTCCTCCCTGCCCGGTTGGAGAGGTTAAAGAAGCTGCCCCAGGCTGCTTGTTTGACTTCAGTCTCTGGCTGGGGCAGTAGCCTGCTCGATGTCGGATTCAGAGCAAACGCTTTCTCGCCCATCTGCACTGGGATCCGTCCAGCTCCCTCTGGAACCAGTGGAAAGATCCAGTGGGGATTGCGTCTGGCCCCTTGTGTGAGCAGCGCAGCTCAGAGAGGAGACGGGCAGTAGTGGGCAGGTGGGTAGGTGGAGGGGAGGGAGACTGGATGGATTTTGGGGTGGGTGTTGCTATGGAGGATGTGCATGTTGGAATGGCGTCTGGTCTTTTGCTCTGTTGGGCTGAAGACTCGTGAATCTTCCGAGCTCTCAACACAAAGTTATTTGATTACATGTACTGCTACCACCGGGTCTGTTTCGCTCTGATAAAGGGAACGATGCCGTCAACTGGTTCAGACCTGAAACGTAACCTTGCTCTGGAATTGCTCTAACCGGGTAGGGCACCATAGAATCATAGAATCATAGAATATAAGGGTTGGAAGGGACCCCAGAAGGTCATCTAGTCCAACCCCCTCTCAAAGCAGGACCAATTCCCAGTTAAATCATCCCAGCCAGGGCTTGTCAGCCTGACTTAAAACCTCTAAGGAAGGAGATTCTACCACCTCCCTAGGTAACGCATTCCAGTGTTTCACCACCCTCTTAGTGAAAAAGTTTTTCCTAATATCCAATCTAAACCTCCCCCACTGCAGCTTGAGACCATTACTCCTCGTTCTGTCATCTGATACCATTGAGAACAGTCTAGAGCCATCCTCTTTGGAACCCCCTTTCAGGTAGTTGAAAGCAGCTATCAAATCCCCCCTCATTCTTCTCTTCTGAGGCTAAACAATCCCAGCTCCCTCAGCCTCTCCTCATAACTCATGTGTTCCAGACCCCTAATCATTTTTGTTGCCCTTCGCTGGACTCTCTCCAATTTATCCACATCCTTCTTGAAGTGTGGGGCCAAAACTGGACACAGTACTCCAGATGAGGCCTCACCAATGTCGAATAGAGGGGAACGATCACGTCCCTCGATCTGCTCGCTATGCCCCTACTTATAGATCCCAAAATGCCATTGGCCTTCTTGCAACAAGGGCACACTGCTGACTCATATCCAGCTTCTCGTCCACTGTCACCCCTAGGTCCTTTTCCGCAGAACTGCTGCCTAGCCATTCGGTCCCTAGTCTGTAGCTGTGCATTGGGTTCTTCCGTCCTAAGTGCAGGACCCTGCACTTATCCTTATTGAACCTCATCAGATTTCTTTTGGCCCAATCCTCCAATTTGTCTAGGTCCTTCTGTATCCTATCCCTCCCCTCCAGCGTATCTACCACTCCTCCCAGTTTAGTATCATCCGCAAATTTGCTGAGAGTCAATCCACACCATCCTCCAGATCATTTATGAAATATTGAACAAAACCGCCCCAGGACCGACCCTTGGGGTACTCCACTTGATACCGGCTGCCAACTAGACATGGAACCATTGATCACTACCCGTTGAGCCCGACAATCTAGCCAACTTTCTACCCACCTTGTAGTGCATTCATCCAGCCCATACCAGTGCAGAGGGATTAGCAACCCAGGCGTGGAACCAGCCGAGGAAGCCGGCTGCTTGTTAAACAGCCATCCATGGACAGGGCAGTAACTCGGGGCGAAGCAGAAAATGAAACAGTGATGGGATTGTTATAGGGTGACCATTCATCCCGTTTTGGCCAGGACAGTCCCTTTTTTAAGCCCTGAACCGGGCCAGAGAGGGCATTTGTCCTGTTTGTTCTTGTTTGGCAAGAGCAAACGGGACAAATGCCCCTTTTCTCAAAAAGGTGGGGTGCAGTGCGGAGGACCGGGTCGGGGGCAAGCGGAGATGCCAGCCCCGTGCTGGGCAGTGGGGGCTGGGCTGGAGGAGATGGTGGAGGAAGGTTTCTAGTGATCAGCGACCAGCCACAGCCTCGAGCAGGGGGGCCAGCAGTATTTGAGTGACAGTTGGGGGGCATGCTTCAGGCGAGCAGCTGGGACCAGCCCCGCATTGGGGGGGCCTTGGGTGAGCGGCTGGGGCCAGCCCCGCACTGGGGGGGCCTCGGGTGAGTGTCTGGGTCCAGCCCCACAGGGGGTCCTTGGGCTAGCCCCGCACTGGTGTCCCGTTTTCCTTTTGGGAAATATGGCCTCCCTATACAGCTATGTCCGCAGAGGTGGAGTTACACCGATTTACATAAACTGAGGCTCTGGCTTCCTGGGATTTCACCCTATCCTGGAGAAACTCTGAATGAGGCTGAACTTCATTCAGTGGGTGACCGTGGCCCCTCTGCATGGGTGGTGACTGTAGGTTTTTGCATCAGGTTTCTACTGCGGAAAGGTCCCGAGACCCCTTTAGTTTGGATGGCAGAGCACGCAGCAATGTCTCCTTGCTGAGCTGAATAGATCTCAGCGCTCCATGGTTGAGGGGGCCAGGAGCGCTGGAGTGTGATTAGGTGTTGAGGCGAAGGCCAGGAGTCAGTGGATCTGGCTCGCGTTAACGAGCGTCAGGGGGAAGCCGATTAGCCATGGTGGAGCAGTTCTTGGAGCACTTGAGAAGGACGTGCCACCTGCTTTAGCAGCGCCGCAGTCGCCTGGTGCGTGAAGGGCCCTGTTATTCGTAGAATAAAAGCTTTTTTATCCGGCATGTTGGGGGAATGTTGCTGGTAAGTTAAAAATGTCGGTTGACTAAGAGGGAGGGAGTTTGGGAGCGGGTGTGGGGCGGGGGCTTGGGGCGTGGGAGGGGGTTCAGGAGTGGGTGCGGGGTGCCGGATCCAGGGGCTGCTCACCTCGGGAGGCTCCCTGCAAGCGGCGACTTGTTCCAGGCTCCAGCTGCTCCTAGGCGGAGGCACGGCAGGCGGCTCTGCGTCCTGCCCTTCCCCCGTCGTGCCCCCCCTCTCCGAATGCTGGCTGCGCAGCTCCCATTGGCTGGGAACTGCAGCAAATGGGAGCTGCCGGGGCAGTGCCTGCAGGCCTAGGGGCAGCCGGAGCCCAGGACAGGTCGCTGCTTGTGGGGAGCTGCCCGAGGTGGGCGGTCCCCGGATCTGGCACCCTGCACCTATGTTCCCTGTAAGCTGCACGGCCGTGCAGCAGCCTATGTAACGCCATGCAGGTGCTTAGGGAGGCTGCCCAAGGACCGGTCGAGGGAGGGGCGCCCCTTTCCCGGCCCCCACCTAGCCCGGCCCCCAATCTGCCGCAGGAGGGGCGCCCCGGTCCCAACTCACCCTGTGGCCCAGACCTGCCGCGGCCAGATTGGGCCCAGGCACGGCCGGTGCAGCCCAGCCCAGCGCGACCCTGGAGCAGCCCAGACCCAGCTGCGTGGCCTGGACCTAGGCGCAGACCTGCTGGGTCCAGGGGAGGGGTGCCTATCCTGCAGCCCCAGCCCCAGAGCTCCCGCACCGGGGACAGGCGCCTCTCCGCCCCCAGCCCAGGTGCTGCTGCAGGGAGAGTGTGCTGGGGGGAGTCCTCTCTCCCCGCCATAGTCCTGGAACACCCTCCTGCACCCCAAGCCCCTCATCCCTGGCCCCACCCCAGAGCCTGCACCCCCAGCCGAAGCCCACACCCCCTGCCCTGAATCCCTGCCCCAGCCCTGAGCCCCCGCATCCCAGGGCCCACCCCCCGCAGCTGGAGCCTTCACTCCCCTGCACCCCAACCCTGAGCTCCCTCCCACAAGGATTCCTCGGCCCCTCATGTCACACATCACCTCCATATTGGTGCACATAACAAAATTCATTCCGCACACGGGTGGGAAAAATTAGAGGGAACACCACCCCGCACCTGCTCCCGCACCCCAAGCCCCCTCCCGCCCCCAAACTCCCTCCCAGAGCGCACGCTCCACGCCCCCTCCTGTGCCCCGAGCCCCTGCCGGCCCCGCACCAACCAGACTGTAAACCAGCATTTCAATGAAGATCAGAAATGCCAGTTTACAGAGCTTTCCGGCTGGTGAAGTGCTGGATAAAACAGCGTTTGCTGTAGTTTATACATGATGAATGGGTGTTGTGGGAAGTGGTTAATCACTTGCTGTTGGGTCCCCAATGGGGTTCTTATCCCCATCTGTGACACATTCTCCCCATGTGCGTGTGGGCGTGGATAG